GGGGGGGGGGGGATGTAACGACCCGACCGATCATTTCATAAGTTACCGCTTTGTTTCCCCCATTTTAGCTTCTTTATGTGTTGTTCAGTTGTATTTCATCGTATCATACTGGTCGGTTTGGGTTCGGAGTGGTTTTGTAGAAGAATGAGACATTTAGTCTTTTTTGAGTAAAATTAAGTTGGAAAAGTCAACCGGATATTGACTTATGAGTAGAAGGCCTCGGATGTGAATTCTAATGGTTTGGATAGCTTCTTTAGGTGATTTGGGACTTAGGAGCATGATTGGAATGTATTTTAGAGGTCCGTGGTAGATTTAGGCTTGAATTGGCGAAATTGGAATTTTGGCGTTTTCCGATCGGTAGTGGAAATTTTGATATCGGGGTCGGATTGGAATTTTGGAAGTTGGAGTAAGTCTATTGTGTCATTTGCGATGTGTGTGCAAAATTTTAGGAAATTCGGATGAGGTTTGATAGGTTTTTGCATCGTTTGCGGAATTTGGAAGTTTGAAAATCCTTAGGCTTGAATCCAATAGTATTTGATGTTTTGATGTTGTTTTGAGTATTATGAAGGTTAGAACAAGTTTGAATGATATTATGGGATGTGTTGGCATGTTTGGTTAAGGTCCCAAGGGCCTCGGGTGAGTTTCGGGTGGTTAACGGATCATTTTGGGCTTTGGAAAGATAGCAGATTTTCTTATATTTTTGTTGCAAAGATTTGTTCTTCGCGTTCGCGAAGGTGTGGCTAGTGGAAGGATCACGAACGCGAGGAGTTGAAGGCATTCATAAAGAGGAAAGATGGAACAGCTCCACCCCAAGGATTTCTTCTACACGTTCGTGTAGAGGACAACGCATTTGCGGAGGGTCTGGCAGGTGAAGCTACGCGTTCGCGAGAGGGTACTCGCGTTCGCGAAAGAGGAAATTTGAGCAGTGGATTTTTGTGCTTCGCGAACGCGAGGCTTTGACTGCGTTCGCAAAGAAGGGCACACCTGGGCAGAATGTTTCAGTTCAAAATCGAGTGTTAGGTTCATAATCTCAAAATTCATTAGAGAGCTCGGGAGAAGGCGATTTTGGAGGGGATTTTTAGAGGATTGATTGGGGTAAGTGTTCTTCACTCAAATTTGGTTAAATCTCATGATTATGACTTGATTCTTATCATATAATTTGGGAATTTGGGGTGAAAATTGGGGAAAATGGAAGAAGATTTGGAGAGTTGATTTTGGAGATTTGGATGACCATTTGATGTCAGATTTTGGTGAATTTGATATGGGTAGATTCGTGAGCGAATGGGTTTTCCAGTTTTATGATTTTTATCGGATTCCGAGACATGGGCCTAGGGGTTAGGTTTGAGCCAATTTCAGGATTTTTGAGTTAATTTGATTATTTTCACTTGGACTTTGTTCCTTTAGCGTATATTGATGATAATATACTGATTTTGGTTAGATTTGGAGCATTTGGAGGCCGATTCGAGAGGCAAGGGCATTGCGGGCTAGAGTTTCGACCGGTTTGAGGTAAGTAATGATTGAAAATGTTGTCCTGAGGGTATGAAACCCTAGATTTCACATCGTTTCACTACTTTGAGGTGGCGCACACGCTAGATGACGAGCGTGGGTTCGTGCACCATTAGGGATTGTGACTGGGTTCATCCCGTACGACTATTAAGTCGCGTATTTGATTGAAAACTTTTGGGCTGAATGTCATATTTGGGCCTCGTGCCAACTGTTTGGACCCTTAGGGGCTTTTTACTACTGTTTTCCTCACCGGTTTGGTTTAATATCTACACTCAGTCATGCTATATTTTTACTGATTTCATAACTCGGTGTTATTTACTCTGTTTGATTCTATAAATGATATTTTGGACTGAGCACCTTGTGTTATTGTTAGCCCGAGTGGCTTGAGAGATTTCTGACTGAGTAAGGCCGAGGGCCTGTGTTGTGAGGATATTATGGGATCGGGCTGCGCGCCGCAACATGTTGTACTGATTGTGATATATGAGAGGCCGAGGGCCTGATTTATTATGCCATGAGATGGCTTGTGATAACGCTTGTATTGTAGGAGCTCCTCCGGAGTCTGAACACCCCCAGTGAGCGCGGGTACCCAGTGTGAGTGATGTGATGCTCCTCGAGGGGCTGTTATGATTCATGTTGTTGCACGAGGGGCTGATTATGAGTGATTGTGAGGTGGCCCGAGAGGCTGGTTCTGTTGATATTTTGCCCGAGGGACTGTCTACGTTTCTATCATTTTGACTCACTGTTTCTTCACTTATTTGAAACTATTGAAAGATGTTTTAAAAGAAAAGGTTTTTACTGAAATTGAGTTTGTTTTACGAGATAATATAGTTCTGTACTGTTTTGGAAATGTACTATATTTGTTGTAGTGCTATGACGTGGAATTTTTCTATTTTCTTACTGCTCAGCTCTCATTTAATTTTATTACTTACTGAGTCGGCGTACTCACATTACTCCCTGCACCTTGTATGCAGATCCAGGAGTTAAGGGTCGCGATAGTGAGCTTTGATCGTCCATTCAACAGGATTTTAGAGTCGACAAGGTAGTTGCATGGCGTTCGCAGCCCTGTTCTTCTCCCTCATACCTTCCCTAGATTTATTTAGTATTGTCTTCTACACTTTGTCAGACTTTATTGTATTGAGACATAGTTGTAGTTGCTCGTGACTTGTGACACCCGAAGTTAGGCTTGTGTATTTATTCCGCACTGGTTATTTAGACTTATGTCATGAGATTTCTTGTTAATTAATGGCTTAAAAATGACTTTTGTAGAAAAATGATTTGATTTGGGAATTGTGTCGAGTGACCTAGTTTCACGATAGACGCCATCACGACCGGCTCAGTTATAGGGTCGTGATGAAAATTGAAATGAAAGATAATAATATAATATAGAAGAGAGAGAAAAATATAAAAAGGGATATTTTCTTTTAGGGGAAAAAATAGGAAAATAGTTGGAGTAAGTTGTCCCCAAAATGGAAAATCCCCATTATGGAGCCCAAAAAGGGGTAAAGGTTGGAGATGCCCTATCTAATATAATCTTGTACGACAAAATTAACCACTACACCCCAAACCATATCAGTTTGATTTTTGGTTACATGTGGCTAAATTTGATAATTTTTAGATAACAAAACTAAAGCAGTAATTTTTGTGCAATGAACATCCAGAAATTTGCCCAGAGCAAAGTTGATATAAATCAACACTACTATCTTACAATCCATTATTCCAAATACACCTAGGTATTACTAGAAAAATGCTTATTATACATAATAATCTCATCAACAACAACAATAGTAATGGAAATGAAATTGGTTATTAAGAATAACTTGATCTTAGCCAAAAAGTCGGGGAAACGTATCAAACTTTAGAATAATATTATAGAAAGTAGACTATATATCGAATCTCATACAAAAATTTTAAAAAAAAAATTCATGTCAACAAAGGGGAAAAGGAAAAAGTCAACGGTTTTCTTTGTTTTGTTTAATGTTTGAGTGACATCAATTTTCTTCTTGTACTTTTCACACAAAGGTGTGTAATCGTCAAAAGAATATTTATCTCCATATATTCCACTTCCCACATATCTTCTTCACTTCAGTCCCCTTCTCATAGATTCTCTCTCTTCTTACGTATTGTAATAAGTACACTAATTAAAAGGGGGTTGAGGGTATTAAATCCACATCTTTCTCTATACATATGGAGAGTACGTAACATATGATTCTCTTCATTCTTTTTTTTAACTAGTATTCTCTTTCTTCTAGCTATACTGCTTTTTTCAACATGGTGGTGGCTCATCAGCCTTCTCCGCCGTCTAGCCGCCAAGAAAAAGAAAAATTACGTGACATTGAGCTTCCTATAATAGACCTTTTGGGCGAGAGATCAGAAGTGACAAAGCTCATTGTCAAAGCCTCTAAAAACATTGGTTTCTTCAAAGTCATCAACCATGGTGTCCCTAAACATGTCATTAAAGCAATGGAAGATGAAAGCTACCGATTTTTCTCTAAACCGGCTTCCGAAAAACAACGTGTTGGACCGGCCAATCCCTATGGCTATGGCTGCAAGAATATAGGGTTCAATGGAGATTATAGAGAAGTTGAATATTTGCTTTTTCATACCAACCCTTTGTCTATCTCTCAAACATCCAAAACTATTTCCAATAACCCAACCCTATTTAGGTATCTTCTAAACTTCTTTAATTTTATGGTGAAATTTTGATTTCTTGTCACTTTTTTTTTTCTAGACTAAGGTTATGGTATCATTAAATAGTTCGGAGGACATATCATGCAAGTTAACTAGCATAAAATTATTTACAAGTTTAATTACATGGTCACCATTGTAAGCACGTGATTTTTGCTTCACGGACAATCGCTCCAAAAAAAAAACAAAAATAGTGACCAATGACCTCGCTGTACAAATTTTCATTTTTTATGACATGTACTGCTGGTCATTTGTGGTTTGGCCCATGTTGCATTTGATCTTACCAATCAAAATACAAAGTATGTCTGTCATGGTAATCAAACCGTAATTCGGTCGTTAAAAGAAAATTCAAAATATATGTGCATCGTCCGTTCTAGGTTGTGATTTAACTTGCTTAAACATTTTAATTTGGCGTGATAATGGTGTTGAAGTGTTACATTGTTGTTTGTTTTAATTTCATTTGTTTTATTATTTATTTGTTATTTTTCATTTTTTGTTTAAAAATAGAAAACAAAAGAAAAGAGTGAATGAAAATCAGTTTGGGCCCAAGAAATAAAACAAAAATAGGCCCAAACCAGCACAAGTCCAGTCCAGACTAGGCCTGCCCTGACCACCTCCCGAAACGACGCCGCATCATGCGTCTGATCTGAGCCGTTCAAACACACCCATCCAACGGTCCACCTCAGCACCCGTAACCCGACCTGTTTAGCCGGTCCAACCCAACCCATCACTTAAACCCAAACGACC